TAATAATTATAATGTTATATTTATAATAAATTAGGAATTTAATAAATAATATTTTTAATAAGTTCTTTTCATAATAAATTAGAAATTTAATAAATAATAATTATAATAAGTTATATTTATATGTGTGTGTTTAAAATTTTTAATAATATATATAAGCTAAATATCTTTATAATTTGTAAATTTAATAAATTAATATGTTTTAAATATATTGATTATATTTACAATAAAAATTACATTTTTAAGACTTAAAACTCATTATAACAATAAAGATCAATGATGGTGGGAACTAAATGCATGACCAATATTTGGACATGTCTTTCTAGTGTAATTAGGAGTGTGACAATATGAACAATTTTTTACATGATTATGTTATTTTCTAATGTCCATCTTTGTTTTAATCTTGCTGGACTTTGACTCTTGGAAGTTCTATTGAGTTTCGAATTTGGCCACAAAGTTGGACCAGTGTAAGTAGGGCAATAAAGGCTAATAATCTTTATGTTGAAACTCTCCAAACTGTCTTTCTTATACATTTGCAACTTTTTGTAAGGTATATATGAGAGATATGTAACTTTCATAATCGTGATGTGCATGTAAGCATGAAGCGAATACATGCGAGCAAGGAATATAAACTTATTTTATTATAACTTATTAATTATATTAATTATTGACATTATTTATTATTATAATAATATATTATTATAATTCTAACTTATTAAAATTATACATTATTATAAATTTAATATTTTTTACACATATATTTATATGAACATTATAACTTATTAAATTTTTAATTTATTAAAATTTAAATTTACCTTACTTTTTTAAAATTTTATTAAAGAAATATTACATATTTTATAAATTCTTCGAAAACTATAAATTCTTTTCTAAAAATATTTCAAATTAATTAAAAAAAATTGCTCAGAATTCGGTTCTTTCGGAACCGAATTCCGGCAGCTGAAACGAACTCAGGCAGCCATGAAGGAGGTCAGAATTCGGTTTACAAGAAACTAAATTCTAATCCAACCAAATTCTGATTCTCAATAGTGAACCGTTCTAGTGCTGTAAATAATGCTCGAGAGGTTCTATTTGGGGAAATTTATTTTAAAAAAAAAATTATTCCTGAAAAAATTTAACAGGCCGGCCCTAATAAAATTCAAGCTAAAGTGACTTAAAATACGTTTGGACGTGATGTTGATAACCCATTTAACTCATTAAGTCATTACAAGTAGCCCACTGATTTGACCAACACATTAGTTTTAAAAAATATATATACGTAAGTCAACATGGCTTGCTGAAAGAAAATAATCCAATGTGAGTGAGAGAGATCAGAAAGGAGGGCATGGTGAAGAACATGTGTCGTAGAGAAGTAGTCACAGAGTGGACACGTGGTAGCGGTGACACAAACAACTTCCACTTTACCATCACCGTAACTTGCTACCACGTTCTTCTTGCAGCTCTTCTGCTTCTCCACTTTGCTCACTCTTCCAACTCCTCCTCGCCATCTCCAACTTTTTCTTTCAACGGAAACCATACAAACATGGTACTTTAGTTTACTCGCTTTTCCTAGCCAAGTTAGTTTCTTCCGGTTGCATTACATATTTGGAAATCAATTTCGTGGACGCAGAAGCCATTTTTTTCAGCTTCAGCCAAAATCAATTTTGTGATGAAAAAAACCCAAACCTTTATTCAACAGGAAGAATCACGTTTTTGCACAAAAATACGCGCGTCTAGATCTCCAATCGCGTATCCAAACACGCTATAGTCGCATAATAAGACGTCTTCATTCTCAACAAATGAATTCAATTCTATGTGCTTTTACTGCTTTAGCCCTCGCCAGTTGCATTTTTTATATTTCATGATTGTATCCACAGCAGGGGAATGAAACTAATAGATTGAGTTTCTTTCATTTCTTACCCTTTTATATATTGTCCGAGAAAAATACAATGCTTTTCTTGTATCCCCTGACGAATGTACCACAGGTGATGACCATAAAAAGAATATGGAAAATATTCTGTGAGAAATTGCAGGTTAGTTTCTGTTTGCTTAATTATGATGAATATGGGCAGTTAGTCCATTTCACTTGGTTTTAGACGATATAACCAATAAATTTATTTGACTAACTTGAAAATTGAAATGTTAGCGACGCACTCTCTTTAGCTAATCTTTTAGCTCACTTTGTACTATTGGATAGTGTTATGTAAGACCCACTAAATATGGAACAATGCTTGCATCATTTAGTGAGTCCTATATGCATTTCACCCCTTGGTAGAGAAATAGTGATGGCTATAGTGTGTTTAGCGCATTTATCTTGTGACTAATTCAATAACAATGTGATCAAATGTAACGTTGATTTTGTGCCCAAAGTGCTGGCTCTATGTGTTGGAGACTTGTAACCAATCCCACAGAGGGGGTGTTACTGATAGGAATGTTAGCAACACTCTTTTGAAGATTGAACACATTTTTTCTTATTACATCAAATTTATTGAAAAATTATAAAATTTTGTGAGTTCCACATTTTACATAAGGAACTTCTCTCGTGGTTTTGTGGTTATCATAAATTTCAAACAATAGTAGAAAATGTATAAGAGTGTGTTGCTAGCACTCTTTTTCCTTTAATACTTGTTATTTTCATGATGTCCATTTTTTTGTTTTGCAATCAACCAGGGAAGTAAAAACCAAAGTCAATTATCATTGAAGAAATGTAATGTTTCCAGCCTAGGATGTTTCTTAGGACAATTTGATGCCAACTTCTTCAAGGAAAAACAGGTATTTTCGTTGATTTGCGAGTTTGTTGTTACAATGATGCTTGGCGGTAGGGTGACTAATTCTGTTCCTTTTAGATTGGGGAGATTGCTGAGGGTGCAAATGAATTCAATCTTCCAATCATAAAAGCCAATCGAAAACTTGTAGCTTCTGAGAATGGAGGGCTGCATTATCCTTCTCCTTTAGTTTTCAATGCTGGTTGGAACTATCAACCAGTTCATCATGAAAGTAAAAGGTTCAACTATCCTTCCATCTTCAGGATACAGAGACCTGAATCTGAAGAAGATATCGCCTTTATGAGTGTAAGTGATCCATCGTTGCTGACACAACTAATTTGACTTTGATTATATCTGATATAAACATTTTAACATGTGTTACTATTTCATAAATTCCTTTTTTCTCCCATGTTTCAAACCAGGTTCTTGAGTTAGGTGAACTCATCAAAACAAAACAAATTACATCTCAGGAGCTTACACAAATATTCTTGCGGAGATTGAAAAAGTAGTGCTAGTATTGGAATGCTAACTTCTAGCGTAACAGTGTCTTGTGCTGTGTTTTTGGTGACTTGAATTCAAGTATTTCAAACATATCTTCCTGATTAACTATATCATGTGGAATGAACACCAGGTACAATCCTACTCTTGAAGCTGTAGTCACTTATACTGAAGAGTTGGCACAGGAGCAAGCAAAAGAAGCAGACAAGTTGCTTAGCAATGGAGTCTATCTGGGTAGTTATTTTTCTCTGAGCATGTAAACATTCAAAAGTGTTTTGTTTTGAATTTATTTACCTTCCACTTACTGCACTTTAGTTTTAGAACCATCCCTCCCAGCATCATAAATATAAGATTCCTATACATCCTGAACAAGATATATAAGCAAAATTACTTTTACAGGGTACAACACCATTACAGGATTAACTATAATTTAGGTCATTCTATTGCATACCTTGTAATAGACTTCATTCTGTTACAATACTGTATTTTTAAGATTAGAAAGTTGTCACCTTCAACTTTCTTTCAGGCTGAACTTTATATGCTGAGTCACTATTTTAAATTAAAATTGATCTTCATTGAAGGGCCTCTTCACGGGATTCCTTATGGATTGAAGGACATAATATCAGTGCCCAAATACAAAACTACCTGGGGATCAAAATCATTCAAAAATCAAGTTATTGACATGGAAGCTTGGGTCTATAAAAGGTAATGTCTATGCCAAATGTAAATCTACAACCAGAAATTATGTTTATGGCTACAATTGTGTATAGTTGATGATATTGATCAACACAGGTTAAAGTCTGCTGGGGCTGTTCTTGTTGCAAAGCTTGTTTCTGGATCATTGGCATATGATGATATCTGGTTTGGTGGCAGAACTAGGAACCCATGGAATATTGAGGAATTTTCTACGGGGTCATCTGCTGGACCTGCAGCAAGCACCTCAGCAGGTACTTTTCAGAGGTTATCTTCCATTATTGCTTTCACTTTTTTTTTGGTCTAGTTTCATTTTTTAGTCTGTGCCTGCTCATATTAGATCATCTTTATAAGTCCTTTCCATTGTATAGTTTATTTTATCAATTACTGGTCAGAATATGCTTAAATTTTATTTTATTTTATTTTAGTTTTAGTTTTAGTTTCCTTTATATAAGTGATTCATTTGTGTTATTCAACTAAGTGATTTTGTTTATTGCATTACAGGTATGGTTCCATTTGCATTTGGTTCAGAAACTGCTGGATCCATAACTTATCCTGCAGCTAGATGTGGAGTGACGGCATTGCGTCCAACTTTTGGTACTATTGGTCGAAGTGGTGTAATGAGCATTTCAGAAAGCTTGGTAAAACCCAAATTATCCCTTGTTTTTGTAGGATGTTGTGAATGTTAAACTTACATGTAATCTTTCGATTCTTTCCACTAGGATAAGCTTGGCCCTTTCTGTAGATCTGCAATTGATTGTGCTATTATTCTGGATATCGTTCGGGGAAAAGATCTTGATGATCCCTCATCAAAAGATAGCTCCCTTGATGATCCATTCCTTGTTGACATTACTAATTTGACTGTTGGATATCTTGATGATGCTGAAATGGAGGTTAGTCATCCAAGTAGTTTCTCTCGGATATGTGGTTCAAGCTTTGGCATTATATATTGCCAAATTCCATGAAGACATTTGCATTTCTTGAATGTTGTTAGGACAAGACACGAGACTTAAACTTCTTTTGCCATGACATCGCAGGTTGTTCATGTTCTTGCATCAAAGGGGGTCAAGATGGTCCCTTTCAAACTGAATTACACAGTTGATTCTGTTCAAGGTATCTTAAATTTCACAATGGATGTTGACATGCTGGCCCACTTTGATGAGTGGCAACGCTCAGGCGAGGATAATGAGTATGAAGCCCAAGATCAATGGCCCACTGAACTACGCCGTGCTCGTATAATTCCAGCAGTGGACTATATACAGGTCATTTATTTGGTTCCCTTGAATTAAAATACAACATATTTTATAATTGCACTTTTTGTCACTTATGTTTCTTGATTTTGTAAATTTTGCCACTCAACTTTTAAAGTCCCACATTTTGTCACCTAACTATCTAAGTTTCACACATTATGTCATTCTGTCAATTGTTGACTTAGTAAGTTAATCTCTAACATGACATATTGATTATTGATGTGACGTGTTGACTCTTGATTGCTGACATAACATGTTGACTGTTAATATCATGTCATCATTTATATGTTTCATAAACATGACATATCAGCACTCAATGTGTTACATTAACTGTCAAAAAATAACAATAGTAATTAACATGAAATGTTTGCAATCAGCTAACAATGTCTGATGGTCAACTAACAAGATGATGAAATGTGTGAAATTTTGAAAGGGCAACTAACAAGATGATGAAATGTATGAAATTTTAAAAGTTAGGTGGCAAAATGTACAATTTCAAAAGTTTGATAATATAATTTGCAAAATCGTATAACATGAATGACAAGAAGTGCGAGTCTAGTTTATTTGAAGAATTTAATTTAAATCAATGATTTGATATCATTCTATTCGTTTCAGATATGATAAGTAGGCATTTGGATAATTATTGTATGCAGGCACAAAGAGCACGGGGAAGGCTAATAAAGGAAATAAGAGAGTCCTTCACTGTGGATGCATTCATTGGCAATGCAACTGATTGGGAGAAAGTTTGCCTAGGAAATCTTGTGGGTTTACCAGTAATTGTAGTGCCAACAGGATTTAAAAATATCTCTGATCCACCACCTGGTGGCACTAAAAGAAGAACCACAATCACCACCGGCATTTATGCTCCCCCTAACCGTGATCACATTGTATGTTTGTGACTGCAATTGTTTAGTGTCTTCTAGATTTTTTACTAGGATAAGCTATGACTTGAAACTTGATCATCAATTTGTCATTGTATACTTAGCTTTCTATTCACTCCTTTCTTTGCAGGCTCTGGCGTTGGCAATGGCTTACCAAGCGGTCAGCAATCACCATAAACAGCGCCCACCTATCAATGATCTCGGGCCGAATGATACCATTTCTGATCAAGTTTCTGTTACTTACCCTCCCAGGGTTTTGGGCTTGGGCCCTTGAGCACTGAGTTAACATGGATGTAATCATTTTTCACATGGGCTTCAAAACAAAGGTAGAGAATATCGAGTTATACGAAATATATCACATTAATCTTTAAATCTACTCTACTCTTATATTGAACTTCACTTTTTTCACTCTCTCAATTATACATTCTCAAGTTTAAAAGGTATATTTTAGATATTAATTTTGCAACTGACCGAAATTATTTAAGCGTGTGTAAGTTTTGGATCGAGAATTGTCAAAAAAACAAAATAATAATAATAAATAAAAACTTGATTTGGAAAAACCGCAAGTGTACAATTATCTTTAATAAAATATTGAATCTATAATAAATGTGTTTTATGGTTATCAATTTATTGTGATTTAAGAAGATAAAATAAGAAATTTTATTTGATTGAAAAGAAAATAATAAAAATAAAATTAAAGATTAAGAGAAAAAGAATTAGTACACACTAATTATAAGAAAAGTTAATATAAAAACGAATTTGAGGATTAGAGTTACTAAAATTATAATTAATGAATTTAAATTGAATACCTAATTATTTAGATTAAATTTTGTTATGGGTGAATTATTCTATTTAACTTTTGAAATGAAAATATTGAGTGTGTTTTAGTTTATATTTTAGTTTGACTAAAATAAACATGTTTGAATATATTGGGAAAGGAATGCCTATTTTGTGTGAGTTCACAGTCTGTGATAAAGATTAGTTATCATTTCTAGTGAATATTTTGTATTATAATCATAATTATAAAAAAAAATATATGAGATAAGAGTTTGTAGTTTATTTATATAAGTTAAGTAAAGTAATTTTAATTAGTTTATAAGTTTTTAGGATTTTTGTTTTTTTTTTCTCTTTATTAATTTTTTTAAAATCATTTTATACTTTTTTTTTTAATTTAGAAATCTTTTTGTCTTTTCTAAATCTTATTGGCAAATAAATAAATAATATTTATATTAGTTAAGTAATTAATTTATTAATACTACCATATACTTTTACGTCAATCAATGAATTTTTAAAATTTCAATTTTTAGTTATAAAATTTAAGCTAATTTTATTAAACACACTTAATTATACTAAGTCTCATAGTAAACACACCGGAACTTATGGCGTAATTTTTTTTTTTAATCATTTTTATTATAAATATTGTCTCATACTACTAAATTTTTAGGTGACAGTTTTCTCATTTGAATATTAACAAATTAACATATGATACCGTATATAATTAGTATTATAATATGTGCGATATACAACGTAACCGATTGTTTTATATAATTAAATTTTATAATAAATAAATATTTTTAAATATATAAATTATATTATAATTAAAATTTAGGTTTAAATATATTTTTAATCACTTAAATTTAAGTTAAATTTGTATTTATTTCCTTAAATTTAAAATTAATTTTTCAGTCTTGTAATTTTAAAAAATCTTGTTCTAGTTCTTATAAAAGCTAAAAATAAATAAAATTGAAGCTTATAAGCTATTGGTTGAATTGAAAATGATTGCTAAACTTAGTTGATAAGTGTTGAGGAGAAGGAAAAGACGTCTTGGGATCTATTAACTCTATCTTTGTAGGTCTCTTGCAAGAGTTTCTTAATGAAGATATTGTTGAGAGAATAAAAAATAAGTACAGATGAAGAGACAATTTAGAGTATTTTCAGTGCAAAGTGATTGTGGTGTATCTTTCTAATAAGCATCAGTGTTTATTAACAATTTTCATTGGAATATGACGACTGATAACATGACAGAGAAAATTGTTTAAAAGTAAGTAAGGATTCTTAAATAAGCAACATTGTTTATGTATTAAAAAATAATATTTTTTAGTCTTGGTTCTTTTAACAAACAGTAGAAAACACAAACTAATTCATTAAATAATAATAAAAAAATGCATCATCAATCCTTCATCACCCACAAATAAAATATTAGTCACCTATCATTGTTGTATATTTCTCATGGTTATGTAATTCTTTGCTTTTAATATTTAATATTTTTATACATATTTAATTAATTGTGTTAATTTTATTATTAATTTTAATATGTTAAAATCTTATTTATTATGTTTTATTAAATTAATTAATTATAATAGTTACATTAATTTTTAAGTTGTCAAAAAGTTAAGTGTAAATATAAAATTATAAAAGTATGAGTTGCTTATAAGATTTTACTATTGAAGCAAAAATTATAAAAATATAATGTTAGTTACTTAAGGATAATGTGACATAATAAATTCTATTTAGAGTAAACTAAGAATCTTAATAAATTATTTATAAAAATTATTATTGGAGATGCTCTTAGAAGAGGAAATAATTAGAATACAAGTGTGAGGTAGGATTTGAGTGATTTATAGAGATGAAAAACTAGTGGGTTTGAATGTGGTTAATTTTATCGATAGAGATTAGTTATTGACAAAATCAATTGATATTTCGCATTGATAATATAATTAAAAAATAATAATTGAGTTTTTTTTTTTGAAAAGGAGAGTTTTTTTAAAATTTTTATCACTCTTAACAAGAGTACGAATGAACATGAGAGAGAGTAAGGGGAGTGAAACTTTCCAAAGTAAAAAAAAGTATTTATATATATATATATTGATAATTTATATTGTAACGTGAGGTTTCTTTTAATTATTGATAATTTTTAAATAGATATTAAAATTTAAATAAAACTAAAAATTTAAAAAGAATAATTGAAAGGATAAAAGGTCAAGAAAAATACTTAAAAACACTATTGTTGAATAAAATCACTATCATATATTAAATAAAATAAACTAAAAACACACTCATGTAATATAACTACTTTGATCAATGTATAGGGTTTATAATTTAGTTATTTAGTTATATAAAATAAACATTTATTTTATGTATTACACTACTAATTAAATATCAAAGTAAACATGTTTTATCTTAAAAAAAACGAGTTTAATAATCATGTATAATTAACATAAGAAAGTTTTACATTATTGATAAATCAAAAATCAATATTGATATAATTTTTAAGAGGTGTTTAACATATAACAAATTTTCATATCTGAAAATTAAATATTTATGAAAATTATAAATCTTGAGAAAGAATTATGTCTTTGATTGGTTATAAATATTTTTGAGAATATTTATGAATTTTAATTTACTATATTAAATAAGTAAATAAAAGATAACATAATACTTTATTGTATTAAAAATGATATTTTTTATATTAAAAAAGTTACTTTTCTACCTTCAATATAATTTATTATTAAAATTATATTTTTACTTTAGAAAAATTAATATAGGAATCAAAACTTATTCTTAAATAACAATATTTTTTAGAAACATTATTTTTTAAATAGTAAATCAATCAATATTTTTTATGTCAAATTTTTGAAAAAGTAAAAGTTTTCTTAAAATAATTATGGTAAAAGTCAATAAATTTGCCAAACATTATGGATTGTGATTAGATGAGAGATAATGTAACTTTTACACTAAGAGCAATTTCGATGAGAGTTGCTTGTCCCATGAAACAATTCAAGTCCAATTTCTTGTCATTGGACGACTCTGACCTGACAACATGAGTTGCTTGAAGAAGAAGACAGAGAGTTGCTTTCTCAAGCAACCATTCTTTATCAGACTTCAAGCAGATCTTATTGAACATATTTGGAAACGTTCAAAAATAATAATGATAAAAATTAATTTCGTATAATATTTATGTATTTACTATTACTTTATTTTATTTTTAATATCTACTTATTGTGTATTTTTTCTCATAATTTATTTTCTTTCATTGTAGTGCAATTATCTTTTTTAATAAAAATTTAAATTTGATTCATAAATGATTAGAAAAAAAAATTATAAAAGTTAAATTTTTAAAGTTTCTTATCATTGAAGTAAATTTGTATTTGAGTTGCTTAATGCTGACATGACACATTAAGGACCACTTTTTTCATTTTTCAATACATGAAACAACTCAAATGAGTTGCTTATATTGGAAATGTCCTAATATACATAACTTTTCTTCTAAAAATAATAATAATACTAATATAACCTTAATAAATTCTTTTGTCATTTTCCTAATATATTAATGAGAAAATAATCAAAATATTAAACACAGAGTGAGAGCATTTAATGTAATTAATAAAATAGCATTAAATGCAAAGTTTTAAAAATTTCATAATGGTGAATTTATTTTTTGTACAAAACTCCAAAATCTGCTATTTAAAACTTTTGACTTAGAACACCAATGGAGCAGAAGAAGCGGAAAAAGAGAGTCAGTTAGTTGTCCGCAAGGAAGATAAGCATGTTAGCATTATTTAAGAAAGAAAGAAAAGACGAGAAAAGAAAAGAAAAAATAAATGGAGAATTAAGAAGCTCATTATTTGATTAAGGAGGAGAGAGAAGGTGCAGGTTTTGGTTTGGATTGAAGTGGCAGTTAGGGTAATTTAACCAGAAAAAAAGGGTTACACACTGAACGTTCAGTTCCAAATTGTAGAATTCAGCTATCGTCGTTAACATTCCATTTATATAACACAAACACAACCAAACCATCTCTCTCTTTTTCAGTACCCTCAATCGTGATCCGCCGCCGAATCCGCGGTTTCTCTCTGAGGTTCTCATTTCTCTGTCAATCCTCAATCTCATTATTAACGTCTTAGATCTTTTCTTTGCATGCTTTCAATTTCATGTTTCGTAATTCCGTATTCGGATCTCAATTTTAATTATCACTCGCGTCACATTTTCGCTGCTGTTTTCAATGCATGCGCGTTTTCTGCCTGTGGATCTGTGAATGCATCGTGAATAGAAACAAAAGTTTGGCTGTGTGAGTCTGTGTGTGGTTATCGCAGATCGTAAATGGCGTCAACAGCGACTGGAGCCACGGGATGGTACAGAGGAAGAGTGAAAGCAGTTCCTTCGGGAGATTGCATGGTCATCGTGGCCATGACCTCCTCCAAGCCTGGTCCCGTGCCTGAAAAGACCATCACTCTATCGTCTCTAATTGCTCCTAGGCTGGTAATTTTACTTCATTAATGGATGTCTTGTTGTAACTGTAAATTGAAAATGTTTTTATATTCTGTTGTATCAATGCTGTGGTCGTGACTCGTGACTTATGAATTATGATGCTTGCTGTGTTGTAATTTGGAAATTGAAAATGCTCACTGTCCTACTGCTGA